AGTACTCTCTTGCAGTTCAGGGAACTGAATTAACAAGTAATTGTTACAAATTCTAGTATAAATGATAAAATTGTTATTTGCAAATTACTCAAACTATATAATTTATATGATTAATTAAAGTATCGGAATGTAAAAAAGTTTGTCGATCTCTTGGTTCTGCATTGCGACACAGAATTGTACAGATAAAACTTAGGCGAGTTCCTCCTTAGATTGTATTTTGATGCTGGTGCAGGTCTGGGTAGAAGATGATGTATGGGATGTCGTGGGGATTTCATTTGATTCATATACTTAGTGCATAAATAGTCTCTTCTAATTTCCAGTCGATCTAATTGAGCCAGTTGTAGGGCGTGTGTATRAGATTCGGCCTCAGGGTAGATAATGTAAAGCGCTCTTCTTTGTATCTGCTCTATAGTTACGGAGAGGTAGTCTGGAATAGCCTGCCACACTGGGACAGCGTACTCTAAGGCAGGCCGCACTGTGCTTAAGTAGATCTTTAGTATGTTAGCTTGGCTAACTCCGGCTCTACGTAGAACTCTGAGCGCATACAATTTCTTACAAGYCTTCTTGGTAATGTGTTCGACGTGGCTGTTCCATTTAAGATCTTTGTCCATAATGACACCAAGGATTTTATAGGTGTTTACACATTCAATAACATCCGCACCTAGTATAATGGGGTTAATAAGACAGTTATTATTATGCAAGAAATTAATACGCATCTCTTTACACTTAGCTGGATTATAAAGGTAGTAAGAAGTATAAAGGTTTCCAGTCTCGATGGCTTTTATTTGCAAACCAAAGCAACAGATAAAAAAGCTTGCCATTTTCTTTGCAAAAAGCCGGCTTTTGTATGACGATTTCTTGTATGGCGAATGGAGGGTTTTCCCTTTTGCTGTCGAGATTTTGTTTTTGTTGCCATATATGGGAGGAGCGATGTGCTCCGTGACAGGTGAAACTGTCCCGAGTGGCCCCCTCATAGTCTCCAAATTTGTCAAGTTTTCATTTTGCGCGCGCAAGTGGCCTCAGGCAACCATCGACACGGATGGGTTTGGGATATTTTTTGGGACACTTTTTTGGATTTTTTTGCCCGAAAAGAGTTTCTATCGATGCCTCTCGTCCAAAATAAGGTAGAAAACGTTGATTTACATATGCTGGCTCAGATAAAACTTCGTTGTTATTTAATTTCGGTGCGAAAAAAGGATTTTTGTCGATCGTTTTTGGCTCATTTTGGGAGAATTTCGAGCGGAGTCTCCTCCCTTGTCACTATATATATACATGGAGGGGAAATTTTTTTAAACCCATCTATAATGCATTGTGACACTGAATAAAATAAAAGTAGACCATTTTTTTAAGTAAAATTTTATTTTTAACCATTATAGGTTCAAAGTCACTGCTTGGGCTCCCTGTGGTTTTG